GATTTGGTGACTGCTCTTCTGACTTTCACCTATTCAGGCTGATGAAACATGGATGGTGTGAGCAACACCACCATCGTAGCAGCTGTGAAACAGTGACAGTGGTTCACCTCTGCTGGTGCAGATCTTTAAAAGCAAGGCATCCAAACTCTTGCCCATGGCTGGCAAAAATACACAGCTAACGGTGGTGACTAGTTAAAAAATAGCATTTTGTAGCTGAGATTTTGTTCTGTCCAATAGTGTTATTGTGCTACTTGTATCTGCTGTGGTTTCAATGCAAACAGGAAGCACTACTTTTAGAATGACCTACGTACAAGAAAGCAGAATGTCTGCCTCCAAAATTTCCTCATGAAACCAGCACTGGAATTTCAACTCACAAAAGAACTAATAAGAATTAAGAAGCATTTCAAGAAACTGCTGCAGTATCTTGTAAAAGTTGCTTTACAAAATATTAATTTACTTTCTACTTCATATCAGAAACTCACTCCTCATCATTATAACCAGGAACTATTTCATTTTCTCTAGAGCACTTTACTAACTTTTTTCAATTTCTGTTGTAGTTTCCACAGAAATAAATTGGAGGCATTACTTTCAGAGTGACCTACATCTATTTATCATAGAATCACATAATCATAGAATGGCCTGGGTAGAAAATGACCATAACGATCATCTAGTTTCAACCCCCATGCTGTGTACAGGGTCACCAACCATCAGACCAGGCTGCCCAGAGCCACATCCAGCATGGCCTTGAATGCCTCCAGGGACAGGGCATCCACAACCTCCTTGGGCAACCTGTTCCAGTCTGCCACCACACTGTGTGAAAAACTTCCCCATAATATCTAACCTAAACCTCCCCTGTCTCAGTTTAAAATAATTTCCCCCTTGTTCTATCACTATCCATCCTCAGAAACAGCCATTCCCCTCCTGTTTATAAGCTCCCTTCAAGTCTGGAAGGCCGCAATGAGGTCTCCCCGGAGCCTTCTCTTTTCCATGCTAAACAAGCCCAGTTCCTTCAACCTTTCTAAATAGGAGAGCTGCTCCAGAACTCTGATCATCTTAGTGGCCCTCCTCTGGACCCGCTCTAAGAGCTCCACGTCCTTCCTGTACTGGGGGCCCCAGGCCTGGACGCAGTACTGCAGGTGGGGCTTCACAAGAGCTGAGTAGAAGGGGACAATCACCTCCCTCTCCCTGCTGGCCACCCCTTTTTTCATGCAGCCCAGAACACAGTTGGCCTTCCGGGCTGCAAGTGCACACTGCAGGCTCATGTCCAGCTACTCATCCACTAGGACCCCCCAGATTCTTCTCTGCAGGGCTGCTCTCAAGGAGATCTTCCCCCAGCTTGTATTTATACAAGCCCCAAGTCATATCGTGCCCAACCCAAGTGCAGCACCCTGCACTTGGACTTACTGAACCTCTTTATGTTTTCATGGGCCCACTTCTCTAGCCTGTCCTGGTCCCTCTGGATGGCTTCCCTTCCCTCTAGTGTATCGAACACACCGCTCAGCTTGGTGTCATCTGCAAACTTGCTGAGGGAGCACTCGATGCCATCATCTATGTCATTGATAAATATGTTGAAGAGCACTGGTCCCAAGACTGACTCCTGTGCGACACCGCTTGTGATCGGCCTATCTTCACACACACGGACAACAGCCCTGTATTCCTCCCAGGATACACAACCCTGCTTTCACTTTCTGTACATTTCCCTTTTTTCTCTCAGTTTAAGCTGCAGGTCTTTGCACAGTCACAACAGTCGCTTGCCTCCCCTGCTCGACTTCTTCTGCTGGGGATGGAGAGCCGTTGTGCTCTCAAAAGGGTTTCCTTAAAGAGCTGCCAGCTTTGTTCTGTACCCACACCAGTTTCCCAGGGGATCCCACTCAGCAATTCTTTGAGCAGTTGGAATTTTCCTCTCCTAGAGCACAGGGTCCTAGCTTTGCTTTTTGCCAGGTCCACATTCTTCAAGATCATAAACTCCATCAAGGCATGGTCACTACAGCCCAGGCTGCCTCCAACCTTAACCTCTCTAATGCTCTCCTCTGCAATATATATATATTTTATATATATATATGCATACATAATTAATCTTCAAATATGTGTGATCTGGCTGACAGGAAGAAGGAATAGTACAGTTCACTGGCACATGTGGGAGAGACTAAATCTTCTCCATGTCAATAAGCAAATAATGGAAAAAACATCCTTCTTTGGGCCAACGCTAAGAACTGTTCAAGGTAACGGGGTTCAAAGTTCTTGGACACCAGAGGTAAACACTGTTCCCCATTTTTCAGTAGATGTATTAAAGAACTACTGTAGCACTACAGTAGAACAATACTTCCCAGCAGCCACCCATTGTGCTACTATAAATCTAGAACAAAGTGGCTTTCTGGAAAGTACACAGGTCCTTCAGATTGCCCATTAACTACTTCATTTGCCACATAGCTGCTAGACCAGCATCTGTTTAAAGACACTTTAGAACTGCTTTCAATCTCTGTTTACAGTTGCCTAAAAAGAGGGTTTTTTAATAAAAGAAATCACTTTGCATTACAAAAGATGATTGTAACTGCTCAAGAGCAGACACAATTTCATGGTTCTGGACTTCTCTTTCTTAATAAAAATTCTGAAGGATGTAACGCTCAAATTGCAGTGGGATACTACAGTCCTAGACACAGCTCAGTCAGCAATGCTGGGAAACATGTTCTGTACTTAACAGCTCAGTGTGCTGACGACCAGGACTAATGAGACCAGGCAAACCTGGGAATGAGGAAAAAGGGTTGAAAGACAGGACTGAAAAAGCAGGGAGTGCTTCAGTACAGAGTAGAAGTAGGAGACAGTGGCAGAGCTGCCTGGTAAGCCCAGAGCTGGGCTAGCAGGAGAGTTTAAGGCAGGAGTGAGTGACATCGAAATTTTCATAGTCAGCAATGAACACATACACACAGCCAAACACCCACAGCCATAATATAACAAACAAAGGTTCCAGATACAAAGCCAGAGGTGGCAAACTACAGTACAGTACACTTGTCTATAGCATGCTTCATTCTAGCTCACATTTCCATGAGTAAAATGAGATGGTCTATTTACTTGAATGGCTTAAGACACAGGATAATAACATAGTCTGATTACGAAAAATAAGAATCTAGCAAGACTTCAGTCCTCTCAAATGATGCACACGATGTCAAGTTTGGCTGGCAAAACTGAATTCAAGTCAGGTAAAGAGAAGAAAGGAGGAATTTAATACAGCTAAGGTGAACAACATAAACCAGGCTGGTTGATCAAATTTCTGTTGTAATCAACATCGAAAAGTACTTGACATCTTGCACGTTAGCATTTTTCTGTAATTGTGATTCTACGGAACCATATTTATTCTGTATGGCATAGCTCATAAAAAAAAACATTTTTGGAATATCAGAGATGTGACAATGTTTAATAACAGAAAGAAAAGTAATATAATCCTCATAAGAAAACACATGTATTTTAGTAAGTGAGGGCGAAGAGATAACTAATGACTGATCACATAGAGAACACAAATAATGATATCAGAAGAGCTGTTCCAAAAATAATGGCAACAAGAATCACATGAAAAAAATGCTTCCAAGGCATCAAAGTAATATAACCTTCAGGTTGAATAAAAATGATTAACTCCAGGAACAGTTAAGGCAACTTCCTAGTAGTGTTCATATACAAAAGATTAAAAAAAAAAACCAACATACAAACTTTGATGGAATCTTCTTCACTCCTTTCTTTCTATTTCTATTTAAGTAAGATTCACACAATTTCAGTGGTTGAAACATTTCAATCTATTACTGTTAAAAGATCACTGTTGCTAGAGTGGTTCAGTGCTAGACCAAATCTCCCATTAATGCTTGCTCCTAAAAGTTATTTCAGTAAGTGGGTCAGATGAACAGAGAAGCCGCTAGTAAGACTCCAAATTTGAACACCGATGACTCCAGACCACCTAAACTGTACTGTTAATGGCCCTTCTTTTAAAATAAACCTAGAAAAGATGTCTTCATTTATTTATGAGATATACTGTATATTTCTGGACCACAAACATTAATGATGTGGTTCATACATTCAAACACTGCAGTCATCAGGAAAACAGTGACCTTTGCTTTTAAATGAAGCAAACTATTTCATTTTCAGCTGTATTCATGCACCGAGTATTACCATTAGTCTGTATGTTCCTCAGCAATACTGTTCACTCAAGGATGCCAAGCTACCAATTGATTTAAACATCTCCTCCCTTCCTTGTATCTCACATAATTTTGTTCAAAGTAGACATTATGCTTTTAATTTGCTTGTTGAGGCATTGTTACAACTCCTCTTGCCTCTTGGCTGACGGAGGAAAATCAATTTTGATCCTTCAGAAGTAAATGCAGACCTCCAATTTCATATATCAGTGTGGACAACTGTCGCTGAAACTGAACCCAGACTACTTCATCATTCCAGTTATTTCACATTTATGTTGATACTGTAAGAAGTTAGGACATAGGCAATTCATTGTTTTTAATTGGAGAAATGGAACAGAATTTCCTTCAAACAAAAAGGCAGCTTGTGAATGAAGTTTACAATAAATAAATGACATTTATGTCAACAGCGAGAATGCACTTCAAAATTATATTTAACTACAGCTTAATAAATTATGAAACCTGCCATCACAGGATTTTAACCCTACAGTAATTCTTCTCTTCCCGAAGAATAACAGTTTTGCCATTTCTTAAATAACACAGTTCAAAACATGTAAGAATATTGAGTTTCAAGATTTATTAATTGAATCTCAGCAACCAGATGATAATAAATATACTAAAAATGTATATTTTCTCATTAGTTTAATGAGGGTTTAATACTGAATGTATTCCATGCAAGTATGAGAGACAGGGCAAGGAGGGGAGGAGGAGACAGCTGGGGGGAGGGGAAGAACTTACTGTAGTGCTTCAAAGATGCACTATAAATGTAATGCAGCAGTACAGACAACACTAACAAATGAAGGCAACTGAAAATGCAATACTCACCCAAAATATCAAATTGAAAAGGAACATCATATATTTCAAACAACACAGGCAGCCTCTTGTCATGTCGCACTTCTTAAATTCTAAAAGGAAAACAAAGGATAGATCCAGGTAAAAGACCACATATTTGCTGCCTTTGGGTGCACTGTATTTGTCACTTTTTATGCCAGTCCCAGTCCCAGAACCAGTCCCAGTTTCGATGCCAGTGTGGTTCTGTGTGCGTGATCCAGCTGTACCATAGAAAGCTCCAGCAGTAAAACCTCGACCAAATTGCCTTCCTGAGGTAGAAGGTTTAGCAAAATCTGAGTCTTTGCTATCCAAAGATGGACTCCGGTGAATTGAAGAATCCTCGCTACTTGACTTCTCCATGATTTCTCTTTCCATAGTTGTCAGATTCAATGTACAGCATCTCTCAGTGTTAAATGCAATGCAATACAGGCTTTCTGTATTTCGCTTCTCTTTTTCTTCATACATAAATCAGATAATTACTGCAGAATTTATTCACTGCATTGTTGCTGTTTATCTATTTTTTATAGCAATGCAGGCTGTACTCTATCCATAGCATGGATTTATTCATTAATATCCTATCCATGCACAGACTCATGATTTATCTTGATAAATCAGATACGCAGAACTTCAGTTTTTATTCAAGAGCCACAGGCTCATCTCTCTGCCCTTATTCTACAGCCCTCTAATCTACAGGCAGCAGATGGTCCTTGCATCCATTTCCAAAAAGCTTCCGCAGTACACCTAGGAGAACACTCTGCAGCCTGACCACTTTTCCTGCTCTAACCTTCCCTCTCTGAGTCTGTCTGTTTCACACGCTGTCTTTTTTTCCCACCCGTTTACAGTATCTCATTCAGTAATCAGCTATCAGAGTGCACTCTGTGTTTCACTGCTGTTGATGTGAAATCAGCAGCAACTGCAATCACTGGGCATTTCCCACAGAAATCCCTGACCTAATAGCAAATAATAAATCCACCCTCTTTCTTGCTCCTCCCCTCTGCTTTCCATCTGACCAGTTAGAAGAAGCCTTCTCCCACAGGGCACGCCTCCATGACACAGTATCTTTAATAGGATTAGAATTACTCTTGACTATACAAGTGCACAACAGAAAATCTCTTTAAATGTCAAGTACTGTTTAGCTGTTTATGAGCTAGAACTGTGAGGTAATAGTACTTGTGCAGTGCAATCAAATCATGTTAAAATATATATTAGACAGCCAAGATCTAGCCTCCCACTATGCACAAAATGAACACTGACTACACAAACAGAATTTTCTTCGGGCTTAAATGTCATGGGACAAGATACTGGAACAGACTAGCAGCCAGCATACACTGAATAGACACATGTCTCACTTATGCATGCACACAGTGACACCGTCACCTCTGAAATAATTAACCATAAGAAAAGCTGAGCTGCTGTCTCTTACAGGATGATCAGTGAATTCTTAAAACTTGAAATGTAACAATATCTGAACCTCCACCTATTTACAGGCTGCTTAACCAGTAATTCAGAGATTATTTTTATGTATGCTGATGTATCATCCTATGCTGTAAGTAGATTATGAACTAGAAACATTGACACAAATGTCACATTTCTTTTCCAGATAGTAGCACAACATGCCTGGTAGGACCTTGAAATAGAGGAAGCAGGAGTGTGCATGTGCGTTGGTGTCTATGCTTGAGGGGGGGCAGGGAAAGGGGTAATAATTCTGGTCACACTTGGTGCTTTCAAATTCGTCATTTTGTCAAGACTTTAAGCACACCACAAGGATGTTGCAAAGGGAGAAAACATTTAAACTGTAAATTATTGTTCTCTTTTTTCAGAGAAAGGATAATAGGAGACCACTACAAAAGAAATACAACTAACGAGAAAAAAAAAAAAAAAAAAAAAAAAAGCCAAATTAGAGCTGATCCTGTGAAATTTCTTTACTCTTAGATATCTATGCCCAACAGCTCCTAAAAATTCTGTTATTTTTACATTGAAACATTGGAATCAACTTCCTAAAGCAGTTATATACCTTTATTGATAGGCTCTTCCTGTGAAAATATCCTTATTTTCCTGTGAAAATAACCACAAAGTGCTTCATGCCATGAAATACTTAGCATTTGTGAATGTAAAATTCTTTCTCTGTGTTTGAATAACATTTTAGCAGTCAGGCCCAACCCTTTATTAAGCATGCTTATTCACTCTGTTTTTTAGAAGTCATTTCAGAATTACCGTATTACCATATGTATCAAGTTTCTCCATCATAATTGCAACTATATGATAAAGACTAAGTAGTCCACATGAAACACTGCAGCACAAAAGTTTGTGCACATAACACAAGGAGAAAAAAATCCAAAGATGTGAAAGCTTGGTATGCTGTGACCAGGAATCTGCCTGAGACACTGGAATTTGCAGGATAAGTAGCATTTAAAGCACAAAGCAAATACCTAAGTATCGTTTTAGAAGAATGAAAACACTCTTTGAAAATTTACTTGAAATTTCACTGATTGTGAAGTTATGCCATTTCAATCCTATGCTGCAGCTAGTTACTTTCAAAATTTACCAAAATAAGCTCTCAGCAAAAAATGAGACTGCACAGGTTGTCTACAGTCTAATATATTTTTTCTGTTTACTCTTTAGTTTGCCGTAAGATTTACACTGACAAACTAGAAAGAAAGGAGTTGGATATTCAGAAAAAAATAATGTTGTGTATTTGTGAAAAATATTGCATTATAAATATCTGCCTCAATTACTGACAGCTACATTACAATAACAAATTATACACACCTCAAGATTAAAAAGGGATTATTTTATAATGTACAAAAAATCTCCATAAATCCAGTCGGAGTCTGTAAATGGTAGAAACATTTATATTGCTGGTTAAGAAAAAAAGCTCACCCAAGACTTTTCCAATTTTTTATTAGTAGACCATCCTAATTTTTTCACAAAATTATAGAATCACCAAGATTGGAAAAGACAGTCAAGTCCAACTGCCCACCTATCACCAATATTTCCCATTAAACCATGACCCTCATATCTAAACATTTCTTAACGCCTCCACTACCTCCTGCGAAGCACATTTCAGCACCTTCTTCGCCAGAAGAAATCTTTCCTAACGTCCAAACTGAATCTCCACTGGCGCAACATGAGGCCATTCCCTCTATTCTCACTACTACTTGTGCTGGAGAAGAGGTCAACACCCACCTCGCCAGAGCCTTCTTTCAGGTAGTTGTAAGAAAGTGAGGCTCTATTGAGCCTCATCTTCTCCAGACTGAACAATCCCAGTTCACTCATCTGCTCCTCATAAGGCTTGTGCTCTAGAACCCTCACTAGCTACACTGCCCTTCTCTGAACACACTCCAGGGCCTTTCTTGTACTTTCTAGTCTTTCTTGTACTGAGCAGCTCAAAAATGAACACTGCACTAAAGCGGACAGTGTACTCAAGCCCTGCCCTCACCAGGGCTGCATGAAGAGAGATGATCACTTCCCAGCTCCTGCAGACAACATTATTTCTGGTACCAGCCAGGATACCATTGGCGTTCTTGGCCACCTGGACACACTCACATTCAGCTGAGTGTTGACAAATACCCCAGGGTCTGTTTCCTCTACACAGTCTTCCAGGCTTTCTGACCCAAGCCAGTAACAGTGCATGAGACTACTGTTATCAAAGTGCAGGACATGGCATTTGATCTTGTTGAACTTCATTCCATTGGCCTCAGTTCAGTGATCCAGCCCATCCAGATCCCCCATCCCTTCCTACCCTCAAGCAGATCCTTCCGAAGATTCCCCTGAACTTGGTGTCATCTGCAAATTTACTGAGAGTGCACTCAATGCCCTCATCCAGGTCACCAATAAAGATATTAAACAGGGCACAATCCAATACCAACCCATGGGGAACACCACTCATCACCAGTCACCAGCTGGATTTCGTGGTCATCATTCACCACCACTCTCTGGGCCTGGCCATCCAGCCAGTTCTTTACCCAGCAAAGGGTGTACTCGTCCAAGCCATGAAGCTGCCAGTTGCTCCAGAAGAATACTGCAAGACACAGTTTCAGAGGCTTTGCTGAACTTTAGGTAGGCTACGTCAACAGCCTTTCCCTCATCTACCTGGGGAGTCACTCAATTGCAGAAGGAGATCATGAGCTGGACCAGCCTTTTGTGAACCCATGCTGGCTGGACCTCATCCCCCAGTTGTCTCGCACATGCCATGTGATACCACTCAAGATGATCTGCTGTATAATCTTTTGGCACCAAGGTTAGGCTGATGGGCCTGCAGATCCCCAGATCCTCCTTACAATCATTCTTGTAGAGGGGAGTCATGCTGGCAAGCCTCTAATCCTCTGGAACCTCTCTGGTTGACCAGGAACGGTAATAGACAGTGGAAAGCAGATTGGCAGTTACTTCTGCCAGCTCCCTCAGCACCCTCAAAGGACCCCATCCAGCCCCATGGACTTCTGACAGTTCAGGTTTCTAACTGTTCCTACCTGAATCATGGAGGGGTTATTCTGCTCCCCCTCCAAGACTTCCAGGGCAGGGGGATTACCTCTTTGACCATTACTTGTAAAGCACCTACCACTAAGAGCTGTCCATGACTGGCCGACACCACAGTTTATAAACTAGGACAATCAAAGAAATAAATGTAGCCAATATCCAACTTCAAAATTGAAGTCTGATGAACTAGCACTAGGGCATAATGAACAAGATTAGCCTCCCCTTCTGCTGTGTAAAAAATAAACATGACTCTCTCTTACAATTATGTTGTTACAACCAAGGAGACCATGCAAGCTTCAGTAACCTTCTGTCGCTGTAGCTTTACAGATCAGATGCTACCTCCTCCAGCTGTAAACACTGTTTGTGTAGCTCAGTTAATATATCATTTAATTGTATTTAATTTTTTTAAGTATATTAATTAGCCAGCCACTTTAAAGACAGGAGGGGGAGTATTGTGACTAAATATGACCTGTACCTTTACAGAACGAGTCAATAGAATTTTTAACTGTATTAAGAAATTGGACCTGAGACCATAAATAAGAAAATAAATAAATTTCACTCCATAGCAGAGGTACTACTGAAGATCTGTAGGTTACAAAAAAAACAAAAAGGAGTAAAAGTTTAATCAGTCCAACCAGGAGTTGTGGATACACAAACAGATCTGATTAATTTTAATGTATGATTTCTTTTCCTGTGCAGAATCCTCTTCCAAACTGAATGATGTCTTTTCACCTGCCCTATAAATTCAATGCCAAGTTCATATATAATGATACAAAAAAGACCAATAAATTGTCTTGATTATTTCAAACAAGCAACCAAACAACACTTAGTCTAGTTCAGTGCCTCCTTCAGAGTGCCTATCACTATTTTGTAATACAGTTTTTAGCTTCATTTTCAGGTAGGACCTTGTGCAGATCAGCTTGCACCGAGGACTCTTCACAGAAAAGGTAAAATTGCAGCAAAACACCGTAAAAAAAGAGCTGCTGGGAAAGTAATTGAGCTCCTGAGGTGCTGCAGCACTGACACAGTGTAGGCGGAGCTGGAGTGACAGCAGCCAGACCCCTCTGCATGTATAAAGCCAGCCCACAAGGAGCACAGCAACCCAGGAGTGCAGTGAACAGGATGGGCAAATGTGGCATGGTATGTCAGAAGAGCATGGAATGGGCAGAGTAAACTAGAGATTTGAGTGGGGGTGCTGAGTATCCCTCCTCACATGGGAGACTGGCTCACAATCATCTGCTTCCCAGGCACAACAAATCTGGCTGTAGTTTTTCTGGCAAGCAAAAAGCTCTTGCCAAAAACAATGTGGCAACTCAGACAGAGTGCCTGCCCAAGAAGTTGGCTCTTCAGGTAGCTGCAGGGAGTGCCTGAGCCTGTTGGTACCAGTGAAGGACAACAGGGATTCCACCTATGTGAGGTCTGAAAAGGCAGATGATCT